TCAAAAAGAAAGCGATGAATTATTAAGTACGGTTCGGTCACTCGTTATGGTCCGCGAACCAGTTGCTAGCGCAAGTGGTTAATCTCTGAATCTCGTTGCACCAGCAAACTGACATTGACTTATTCTCATATTCGTTTCGAAACGAACGTTTTTAAGTAGAAAACACACGCTTTTTATGCATGTTATCTCGGCTCGTCGAAATGAAATTTATTCATAGCGTAATGTGCTATTTTACGTGGAAAGAAAATTTAAAGCACAACGAGCGCTCTTTTATTTTATTTTATACATTCTGGTGCATTCTAGTAATTGTTGAATCCTCTGGGAGGGCTTGCGGATAAAACAGACCCAAGGTAACGTCTGAGTGTCGTAAAAGGGAAACTAATTACACGTGGGATACCTTCGTACATGTATTCTTTTACTTATTCAGAATTAATTTCGCTTCTCGTTGCAAGATTCGGAGATTTCGGTCTTGGAAATTTTCCTCTCCGCTGGAGTAACCTCATCTCCCACTGGTAATATCAACAAACATTTCCCAACAGAGTTTTCCGCGTCAAGATATTATTAAAAAAAAAAAGAAAAAAGAAAATTGGAGGAACGAAGAACTGTAACAACTGTCGAATATTTATGTAGGCTTGCATTTGCAACAAGGGAGCACGAATTTGTCGAAACGGAGGACGAACGAGCATTTCTCCGATCCAATTTGCAAATCTCAAACGTTCGTTTCAATTCCAACGCGTTTCGAGTTCGAAAATTGAATATATATAAATCTCACGTTTGAATTTCTGCCATGCGAAATTCGTTTTCACATTTCCAACAGTGAATCTGTTGGATCCGTTACAAATTCTTTTATGATTCCCAGATGTAATCTAAATATCCGTTCTCGTGCGAACAAAAACCTCGCGCGATGGAAGAGGGCTGATAAAAATTTCAGTCGCGGAGCAGCTCGGTCGTTCAATTTCAAAGCGAATGTTCGAATTTCGAAAAACAAATGAGGAACAGAGAGACGGTGATGTTCTCGGTTAAATTAAAACTTGGAAATTAGTTTGACTACCGAGTGAATCGCAGTGTAATATACATGTAACGTTCGTTGTCTCATTCTCGATCTTACGTGCCCGGTTTCGAGGGGCACAGCGTGTTGCCAAAGTGTTAAATCGTGTAGGTTCGTGTACGCTGCCAGCGAAAAATTTAGAAACACTTTTCGAACCGAAAGCACGACACTTGATTATCGATTTAACGTCAACGTTAATTCAAAGAATTCAATATCAATCTCTCGGGACGTAATTTTCGTTACGTCGACCGCACGATTTTATATAATAGAAAAAAATCCCAGAGTGAAATTTTCTCCTTTTAACAAGCGTTCTCCAAGTTTAGAAACTTCCAACCGAGTTTAAACCTTAAAGTTAGGGGTCCTTCAATTTCTAAACTTTCGGCCAGCAGCGGAATAGGCGTGTGAAGTGGCAGCCACGTGGCCGAGTAAATGCGACACGCAACGACGTCCCCGAGAATATGCGTCTTTTAATCGTTTCATCAAGCGACGTTTGTCTGGAAACCGGATTATCCCGAAAATTTTCATCGCTTGTCGCGCTTGGAATATTTCAAGCCCTCCAGCACGCGAATAAAACCGCTTTGCGCTTCGTATCTCGCTCGACGCTGAAACACTGAGCGTTTTCACGCGTTTCGAATTGAGACACTGGAATATATAAAATAAAAAAAAAAAAAAAACACGTAGGAGAGATTTTTCCGTGGATTAATCAACGATTCGTAAGGAACTGAGAGAGGCAGAGAGAGAGAAAAAAAGAAACGAAACCACGTTTCCGTTGAATGGAACTGAAAATTTTGTAACGCTGGGGGGGAAATTTACTAACAAAAGAAAAACAAAAAAAGAAAAAGAGAAAGAGACAGAGAGACAAAAAGAAAAACGTTAAAGCGTGTACGCGAAAAATCAAGAGCTATCAAATTGATTAAAAAAAAAAAAAAAGTGGGGCGGAAAGCCATGCGCTTTACGTCGATGTCAAATGCACACGAAAATTTCGGGCTTATTTGAGGAATTCTCGCGGTAAAAGAGAGAGAGAGAGAGAGAGAAAGATGCCATGTCAAACGCATCTGTAACATTCGACGAAAATTGTAGACCACAGATTAAAAAAAAAAGAAAAAGAAAATCTACATGCCAATGGGAGAATTTGCAGAAACTTTCAAGGGAATTGTCAGATTTCTTTTACCAACGTTACAGCTACCAATGTTTTTTAACGCGTGGTAAGAAAAACTAGGTTTCGAGAAAGTTAATCGAACGTTTCCGAAGGATTCGTGTAACTTTTTCACAAGAAAATGTATTTATAATTAAAATGCTGAAATTCGAAATGAAACATTTATGCAACTTTACATGTGAAATGTGTCTACTTCAATTTGCGAAATGGAACAAATAATATTTTTTTCTCCAAATAAAAGGAGGTATTGAACTTTGCCGAAAGCAATTCTACGTTCTCAACAGTTGCGAATGCTGAATTCTTATACAAGTTTGATATAATTAACCAGCGTCAAATTGCGAAGAAAATTGCGACGTTCAATTAAAATTATTCATTCAAAAAATCAAATACACTATGGTTAGAAAACCAATTCGGAGCTACTTCTACGATCAACTAGATAATTAGTTACTAAATTAATAAATTAAAGTTATAAATGAATCTTACCTCGGCGATATTTGTTATCAAATAGCTTTCTCTAAAAAAAAATATAGCTCATCTAATTTAATCTTTTCTCTATACTTCAAGCTTTTCAGCTGGCAATGGCGACGTCAAAATTTCGCAAAGGGTCGTCAGAAAAAAAAAAAAAAATCCACAGAAAAAATCCTACTACGCCTCTGTAAAACGTTGTAAATTGTGCCGACATCTCAAGTGCTGGAGGACTTTCTTTTCGATTGTTTGTTTTCATACTTGGTCGATCTACGAATCGTCTACTGCCAATCAGCAGTAGTCAAGCCGAGCGATTTAAAAGAACTTCGAACGAGCCGTGAACGGGAAACTTCAAGCCAAAGAATAACGCAAATAACGTCGAGATGGCGACGTTTCGTCGTCGATCACAGGACAGGTTCGCAGAAACACTTTCTTCGGTGGTGATATGAATTATTCGATTGGTTTTGGCCGAGATTCGAACGTGTAACGCGGAGTTGAAATTGATAACGAGAGATGAGAAGAGAAAAGAAAAGAAAAAGGAAAAAGAATAGAAAAAAGCGAAAAACAAAAACAAAAGTACGTGAACGAGTTTGATGGAAAGAGAGAGAGAGAGAAAAAAATGAAGGGTAAAAATGGATGGAAATGGCGAAAATCGGCGAGTTAAACGCAGCGTGTTCGACGGGTACGATTAAATCAGGTGGCGAAGGTAAGCGTGATTGAAAAAAAAAAACCAGACAGAGAACGAAACGGAACTTGGTAAAAAAAAAAAAAAAATCAGAAAGAAGAGAAAAAGGCAACGAATGTAAACGCCGTGAATGATCAAGAGGCACCGATTTAAAGAAACGAAAACTCTTCGATCGAGGAATAAAAAGAAAAGAAAGATCTCGAAAAGAAATCGATGAACAAGTAGGCCAGATCACGATTGTGTGGAGTCGATGTTGATCTTTACATAATTCGGTGACAAAGAGACAAAAAACAAGTAAGAAAACTATGGCCTGCGCGAAACGTTCGTCGCGACGTAGCACTGCTGGCTTCCGGCTTGCTTCCGAGGACCTTTGTTTCGCCATTTCAACGAAAATCTTCGCCAATTGTCGAATCAAAATATCCGGATTCTCAGTTGAATTGAATTATAAATAATGGGATTCTTTTTTTCTCAAGCTATTCCGCCAAAGGAATTATTATAAAATTATGCGAATGACACTTTAGAATATCAAGAACGTTGTCAAACACAATGGCGGAAACGCAGAGATTAGATTGCACGTTTCGTTGCAAAAGGAAATCCACAACGACGCTTGCGCTGGTGGAACTTGAGATAAATCTTGCATCGGAGCGCGATAAGGTTAATTACCGGTCCCGGTGTAATTAACCCGAGGCAAGGCTTCCGGTCCAGCGGAACTGGCCGCGGTGACGCGTTCGCGCGCGCGCGCGCGCACGCTGCACACAAACAGGAGAAACACTGGCAAACAAAGTAAAAGAAGAAGAAAGAAACAAAGGCAACAAGAAAAAATAGAAAGAGAAAGAAACGTGAGAAGAAGAGGAGAAAAGAAAGCCAGTTAAATCGTTCGGATGTGCACGGGGCGACGTGGAAAATTGGCGAACAGATTTTTCGTACTGTAGTTTGCTCTTCTTAAGTATCGAAGAATATGGCGACAAATATATACACTTTCTGTTGAACAAGATGATGATTGTGTAAAGTTTTGTAAAAATATTTAAAATGTATTTGAATGTGTATTTATTCTTCTTGAACAGACTGCTGTTTATTTAAACAGATTCTATAAGAAAGATGTTTAAAAGTTCGTTTCGTATCATTGAATTTGGATAATTTGGTCTTTGAGTGTTACCAGATAATTCGTGGTATCATTATTGAATATCTCCAACGTTTCGACGATTGAAAATTCAACGAAAGTAAAATTAAAGACGATGTAGGAAAATTGTCGATATTCGTATTACCCATTTCCGTCTCTAAGAATACCGTACCGATCTCCTGTCACCAATTTCAGCGTCACCCTGTACAAGAGTACGTCGATATACATATACAAATCGTTTCGTCTCTCTAAATTGCAGCAATTCACATCTACGAGCATCACAGAAATGCTCGACACGTATCTATACATAAACATACTCGTCGTGTATATCTATATCGTCTCGTACACATCAGAGGAAAAACAAAAAACGAGAAAATCAAAACCTCTGGCTCGTTCCAAAGAACAAAAAAAGAAATCGAAAGAAAACAAAAGAGGAAAGAAACAGAAAAAAAAGAAGAAGAAGAACAACGAAAAAAACTCTTTTGGCGTCTCAAGTAAGTCGTCGGCTCTCTCAATGGGGACTTACCGTTCTTTTTTTGGACAACGACTTTCGCTGCGACTTTACGGGGGTTGCGTATGCCGAACAACGGAGTTTTGAGTGGAGTAGTAGTAGTAGTAGTAGTAGTAGTAGTAGTAGTAGTAGTAGTAGTAGTAGTAAAGTAGTCGTATTAATAGTCATAGTAGTAGTAGTAGTAATAGTGGTCGTATTAATAGTCATAGTAGTAGTAGTAGTAGTCGTATTAATGGTCATAGTAGTAGTAGTAGTAGTAGTAGTAGTAGTAATAGTAGTTGTATTAATAGTCATAGTAGTAGTAGTAGTAGTAATAGTAGTAATAGTAGTAGTAGTGTAGTAGTAGTAGTTACAGTGATAGAGGTCGTATTAATAGTCAGTAGTAGTAGTAGTTACAGTAATAGTAGTCGTATTAGTAATAATAGTAGTCATAGTAATAGTAGTATTAGTAGTAGTTGTAGTAGTTGTAGTAGTTGCAGTAGTTGTAGTAGTTGCAGTAGTTGCGGTAGTAGTAGTAGCAGTAGTAGAAGTAGAGGTAGTAGCATAGTGTCGTGCCGAGATAGGAGGAGTCCAAGGCCAGTGTGATTGATTGACAAATATAATAGAGAAGGAGTACGATAAAAAACACAGTCAGTGCAATTTCGTTTTGGGCTTTGTTGAAAATCAGGGTGACAAAGGGGGCATTCTTGAGCTAAAAGGGGGGGGGGAGGAGGTGGGGTGGTTTCCTAAACAGAGTGACAAAAGGGCCAAAGGGTGAAAGCTATAGTTAACGGAACGATTTTGCAAAGTCGACCGTACGGATAAATAGATATGCGAAATCTCTCTCGAATATCTCGTTTCTCCTCGATTTACGTGTGTGAGATTTTAATCGGCGGTGAAACTATGATTGCCGATGTGGACTCTTCGAGATCGATGCTTCCCGATCTTAAAATAATTTCGGGGACACATTGAAGCGTTCAAACGTTCAGACTCTGTTCGTGTTCGCGCTCTGCAATTGTTGTCTGAAACGTTTCAATCTGTTTCGGAGAAATTTGAGTATGGAAAAAAAATTCTGCGTGCAGGTTGTTAGACATACTTTCTAAAAAAAGAGACGTTCCACGCTTGACCATAATGCATAAAGATCCATAAAGATCTGAAGTGTTTAGAGCGTTCAAAGTATTCCTTTTCTACGTGCCGTGCCAAAATACATAAATTGTTCTGAAATAAAAGGGAAACTGATACAATGATCGCCACGTGAGGCAAGGATCAAGGACACATCAATCATAATCAAAGGATAATTCTTCAAAATTCTTCAAAACTGCGTTGAAAACTCTACACAAACGCGGGACCATCCAGTTCCAAATCTCTATATGAGATCCAGACCGATTATCTATCATCGTTGAACAATTAATTCAACAAATCCAGGCTCGTCTTCTCGCAGCGCAACAAACTAAACATCCGACGCGAGAGTTATCACCTCGATGCATCATACCTGAGACCGGGCTGCCAAACACGCGCGAGACAGGTTCATCCATACTCGAAATCCACCGTTTATCCCCCGACTATAGAAATCTAGCTACGTCCTGCCAATCTTCGACGAATTACTTACAATTCAAACGTTACGGTCGATTGAGACGAACGTAACGCACGTGGCGAACCACGAACGATCAGAATGAAGATCAATCGGGAAACAACCGCTCTCCAGAGTCCAATGGGTGAGTTTTTTTCACGATCGGTGCACGTGTACGAGGCAATTTTAGGATGTGACGTGTACCAAGGAGAGAAACAGAGATGAAACCGCGTGGACGTTGGACAATGGATAATTTGGAGGGAGAGAGTTAGAATAGATCGACCCCGGGTTAGAAAAGGAATTGGTATATGTAAATATATATGGTTCGAGAGATCGGAATGAGAGATAGAAATGAAAAATAGAAGATGAGAAGAGAGGTGGTGCAGAGATGTGGAGATCGAAGTAAAGAACATGTATCGAAAAAGGTACGTGGCGAACTTTCGAGCAAAATCGCAAGTGCGTGAACGTAGCATTCAAGATGGCGCGTCCGGGAATTATATGTGTTTTCTGAAATAATATTAAACAGAATATTTTCCGTTCCGTCGTTTTCGTTGCTTTTATTTTCCTTTCAATCAAAAGAAAGTAGACATCATCATTGTTATTAAACAAAGAGGCAACCAATTAACGAGGAATCGTTTGTCATTCAATGAACAAAGTTGTTAGCACGTGATGACAAGAACCTAATCAAAAAAACTGAGTCAGTTTGTCGGTTTGTAACCCACCATTACCATGATTGTAGATTTACTAGATATTATTTAGCAAGGATTTGATATAAATTAATTTCACTTGTCACAATCCGCCAGATACTATGAAATTTATTAACTATTATAATCAGCTGTAGTTAAATGACAACAGTTGAAGATTGATAGAAAGGATCCTGAAGAAGAAAGCGCCATCTTGAATGGATACACCGAATCAAAGGTGACGGAAATATACTGTTTAAATGTATAGTAATATATATATATATTATATATATTTATATACATCATGGTCGTAACGATGCAGAAGAATGATCAATCTCTACAGATGACAACGACAATAATTCAGATCGTGTGTGTCATCGAGGTAATGTAAAAAACATATGAACGTTTGTGCATATATTTATATATGTATGTATGTATATTTATATTAATATTTATATTCTAATGAGTAATATACAGATAAAATAGAGAAAGATATATATATATATATATACACATACGCACATACACAGAGGACTAGAAAGAAGATATAGAGACAAAAAAGAGAGCTAGAAAAATGTAGAACGAATCTTGATGCGAGAGATGTATTACGAACCACGAAAAATGAATAGAGAAGAGAGAGAGAGAGAGAGAGAGAGAGAGAGAGAGAGAGAGAGAGAGAGAGAGAGAGGATGACAAAGAGACGGACAGAGAAATGTTGAGAGAGAAAATGAAGAAAATTCGCGCACGCACAGTGCACGTGCGTTTGTGATTCGATCGAAAGAAGAAGATATGACAGAAATTAAAGAGAGAAGGGAGGGGGGAGAAACAGAAGAAAATTGAAAAAAGAAAAACCATAGAGAAATGCAAAAGAACAAAACACGATTTTTTACAGATTTTGCGATTCTGCGCGTATATTAAAAAAAAAAAGGAAAAAAAGAAAGAAAAACGAAAAAAAAAAAAATATCGCATTGATCTAGATTTTCGTTTGCTCGATTGTTTTCGGAATTTTCGCTTCTTATGTCCTTTGCTCGCTGGTTTTCTTCGAGAAAAGGAGCAGAAGAGACCGAAAGAACGTACAAAATACGTGAAAAGAAAATATACATATACAAATAAAATATACATATATATATATATACACCAATATTTGTAAATGTATGTATATATATATATATACGAAACAAGGAGAAAAGAGGAAGAACAACAAACGGAAAAATGGAAAGTAGTGAAAGATAAAGAAGAAAGAATCGAATGGTAACAAGAAAACAGATAGAGTGAGAGAGAGAGAGAGAGAGAGAGAGAAGAGAGAGAGAGAGAGAAAATAAACTCCGACACACCGACACTATCTAATGGAAAAAAAGAACAATATATATGTGTATATATATATACACATATATATATTAATACAGAAATATATATATGTATGTATATATACATACATATATATATACACACAGCTAAAAAATCAATGATCAAATATATAATGAAGCTCTTAATAATGTGACGATTAGAAGAGTCGAGTGGCGCTTCTTACCATCTGTCCGTGCAGCGGGTGAAAATGGAAACAGAAAGAGAATTCAAAATTTTTCTCTGAAAGTCGAGATACCGCGGGATATGGGGCGTTCTGTCGTTTTTATTCGACATTCGAACATTTGTTCGTTTTTTTTTTTTTTGATTCTTTTTCTCCCCGGTGGTAGAGGATGTAATCTTTTCTTTTTCTCGGGGGCGAAAAAAGAAAGAGGGTGGCAAAAGGGGATAATAAAGAGAGGGATCATAAGGGACTATCAAAGTTCGCCCTGATTTTTTTTTTCTTTTTCTTGCCGGTTTTTTTCGATCACCGGTTCCTCGAAAAACTTGTTTGTTCTTTACTTTTGAGAAGTGGGAATTTCTTTTTTTTTTTTTAACACCGAATAAAGGTGAAATGTTTCTTTATTTTTTTTTTTTTTTTTTTTTTTTTTTTTTTTTTTTGAGAGAGAGAAACTATAGGCCACTCTGAGCGGAGTGGTTAACACTAGAACGAAAGGTGTGATTCGAGTAAAATCGAGAAGAAATAATTCGGAAGTATATAACGGCTTCCTCGACCGTTTTTCTTATATATATGTATTCTTTTTTCTTTTTTCGGTCGCTGTTGGCGGATCGAGGCGTGGCGGCAAAGCTCAATTAAAAAACGCTCGCGTTGCGAGTAGATCGAAAGCTTCCGAAGAAAAGTAGAAAAAGTCGTGGCGAGTTGTCTTGGAAAAATTCGACATCTTTACTTCGGTTCGATGTTCGAGACTTGACTTTCGAAAATTTCGTTTTAAAAATTTACCTCCAAGGAAAGTTCGATCTTCTGGACGAGTCGGGTTCGATATACTCGAGATATCGAACAGTTACCAGACTGTTGATTTTCATACGTTTATGGGAAGTTTAAAATTGCAAGATGCACTGCAACTGTAATATGCAAAAGTCTAGAAAATCTACGCAGAGTACAGTACTTGTCATAAAATAAATTTCTACTTAGATTCTGTTTAACCCTTTGAGTGTTGAGTCCTAAATTAAAATAATTTAGTTTACTCCTCGCGAGTTCAACGAGAGTGCTACAATCGAATAAATGTATCAAAAGGCATATTGTTAAAGACGAAAATGCATTTTTAATTTGTTGCGTGCTTGTAGACTATTATATTATATATAACACGAAGGGTTAATCAGGTTCGTGAAAACTTGCACGAAAGTCCGCAGTCTGTCAATCAATATGTACATGTTAAATAACAAAATTGTGATCGATATTTCCTTACTTTTTTTCATAGACAACTCAACGACGACAATGAGCGAAATTCGTAATTTGCAATAATAAAATCGTGTCGAATTTTAAAAAGAGCGACCATTTCTGTTCCTCACGTCGACCAACGAGGAACACTGTTCAATTCTACCTTCGCTTCTCTCTGTTTCTTCAACATACTGTTCGCGAACATGTAAATGAACGTCAGTTGCGACTGAATTACACAGAAAAAAAAGAAAAAAAAAAAAAGAAAAGAGATAGTAGAAAATTTCATTAACATTCATCAGAAAGCGAAACAAAAGTGAACAGCATTCGAGCAATGTCCCTCGTAAGCGAAGTGCGGATCGAAGCTGAATCGAAAGAAAAGAGAGAGAGAGAAAGAGAGAGAGAGAGAGAGGTGTGTACAAAAGTAGATCGGAAAAGAGTGGAGATCTATCTCTCGTGTTTTTTAAGTTCTTTGCAGTCACGCGATCGATCTTCCCATTCGGTTGAACGCGACGATTCCCAGGAAAAGTAAGTAAGTGAGTGAGAGAGACACAGAGAGAGAGAAAGAGAGAGAGAGAGAGAGAGAGAGAGAAAGAAGAATAGAAGATCAAAGGAACCGTGTGTCACTCTTCGTTATCTCGCCATTCGAGACTTTAACGCATGGTGAAGAGATGAATCCTCGCGTTCCCGAGCGTTCGAACATGGCCTCTCTTAAATCGTGTCTCTGAGCACGTTCGGAAGACATAAAAAACGCCGAAAAAAGGGGGCTTTCGAACTAGAACTGTTCTTTCTTTCGAACTTTAGTTTCAACTCGACAGAAGAAACAAGGAACGTCTTACATAAAAAGAAATAAAACTGAGAGAAAAGTGTGAGAGAAACGTGACAATAATTTTCAACCTGACGTGGATAACAATAAAAAAGTAAAAGAGCAACATCAAAAAGTAATAACGTCACGAGACGAACGATACAAAAATATTCTATACAACTCGAGATAATTTAAATGATTCAAATAATTCGAGATAATTTAGGTATCAAAGTTTTCTCGTTTCATTTCTCATTTTCGTTTTTAATAACAATGGAAGAAGAAGAAGAAAGAAAAAAGGAAAAAAAAAAAAACAGTAACGGAAATCATAAAAAACGTGTAAACATTCCTTTGAATCGGTTAATCGGTTCAAGCATCAAGCGTACCGCACAAGAGGGAACACTCTGATCACGATGTAAGAGGGACCAGTGGATATCGATTTGAAAGAAATAAGAAGAAAAATATTGATATAAATATATAAAGATAAATAGATAGATAGATAGATAGATAGATAGATAGATAGAGAGAGAGAGAGAGAAAGGAGAATCTCTGCAAGAAACTTGGTCGTATTAAAAGAAGGACAAGGAAGAGCGAAGTAATAGTTGACATTACCTTCTTCGAGCCCGTCGTCTCCGTCGCTCATCAGCTCGTCGTCCGAGCAGATGTTCAGCACGTTGACCAACATCTCTGTGACTGTTGAAACAAGAGAAATAAGAAATCGGGCGATTAATTTACCAGTAATGCGACAGACAAATCGGTCAGATTCTAGAGAAAAATTGGGGAAAAAGTTAAAATTCGAAAGTGAGCAAGTCTTCTGATATTAGTGCAAAATGAAGGCGAGATTTAACGCGATTAAATATTATATGATATTTAAGATATTAAATTATAATATCTATAATTATGTAATTATATTATAATAGCTATAATTATACAATTATATTATAATAGCTATAATTATACAATTATATTATAATATCTATAATTATATAATCAAATGTTATAAATATATGTAATATAAATATTGTAAGGTCGCGAGTTTTATATGATTTGTGATTTAATATAATTACATTGGTGAAATTTAATTGATATTGCTTAATTTCCTGAGATACCTTGCACATTGATTCACTCACCCTTTTCACCTACAAATGGCAGAGACCACGTGAAAACGTCCATGAAATTGGGCAACCAGTAGGGATGTGGCGAACAGTTGAACTGCCTGATGTTCATCACGTTGTTCTCGTATTTCAGCACAGCCGCCTGTGAACGTAAAATTACTCGCGTGAAAAGTGGAAAGCATGGTGTAATATTTGAAATCGATTGTACAATCTTCATAATTTTTATAAATTAATATTTCGACAAGCATTTTTCCAGCAAAATGAATTCTTCGCGAGGAAGATATATTTTACATTCAATGTACATTGTATAATTTCCATAACTTTTATACACGTTACGATTCAATAATAAAATACATATTATACACACGTGTGAAAGAAATTCTCTATCAGTATGTAAGACGAATTCTTCAAAATTCAATTGACACAATAGTAGAAAACATTTTATTAATCAATTATAAAAGGTTTCTATATTAAATCAACGCGTTTTTGAACGCACATCCTCTCTCATTGCATCAGAATTAATTTTTCAAGCGAAAAGATATTCTATTCAATTGCGCAATTTGAATAATACTTTTCATACATGTTTTTGAACGAATTTTCCGCCATGAGACGATGAACTTTTTCAAATTCGATCAACACGAACAATAGAAAATATCCTACGATCAATTTATCATTACGAAAAGAAGAAAAAAAATTATAATTACGTTAATACGTTTAAAAATTATATTTAAATATTTAATCGTATAATTTTCGTGATTTTGATGAAACGTGTTCTCGTATAATTTCTTTGCAAAAAAAAAAATTATGTTAATATTTAAAAATTATATTTAGATATTTAATCGTATAATTTCGTGACACTCTCTCTACAAAAAAAAAAAAAAGACGAAAAATCTCACCTTGTTATTGTAGACGTCGAGGTAGTTGGGCGCGCTGAAGATGGTGATTAGCGATGGGAAGCCCGTCGTCTGAGATTTCCGGTACATGCGGTAGCCAGCGTCCTGTGCCTCGTGCGCCCTTATGATGCTGAGCAGGTTGTTGTTCTGCAGGAAGTCGCAGCACGCCGCGTAACTGTAAGAGAAAAATCGCGAGAAATGATGCACACTCTCTCTCCGCTCGGCAGCCGTGTTATTACATTTCGCGAGAGAGTGTGTGGCGAGGACGCGACTCGATTCGATATCCCCTTCCTCGCCAGCTAAAAATCCTACTCTTCCCCTCGCTACCACGCCGCCGCGGTGGTAAAATCGAGAGGGAAAAGAGCCGCGAATATGTAAAACCAATCGGAAATTCGACTCGAGCGGGAACCCTCTTCCTCTTGCTCACCCCGAAGTTGTTATCAAATTTCCTGAAATAAAAATCCCTCTTCTCGAAAAAGTGACGAGAAATACGATCTTCCCTTCTTTTTTTTTCTTCTCTTTTATTTCTGTCAGACCTCGCATATTTCACGTGATACCGTGTTTTATCAGAGCTCGTTGCGATAGAAATATGTCTTTTCACGCTGGCCGATCGAATTTCGAAGATTCGTCCCAATTGAAAAATCGGCAAAAATCTCGTGTCGATTCAACTGAGTTTTATTCCATTCGTTTCACCTGAATTACGAATTTAAAGAAAGAAATGGACTTTTTTTTTCTCTTTTTGCAGACCTCACATGTTTCGGGATACATAATATTTCATCGCAGCTCGAGAAAAAATCGTGAATTTCGATCAAATTTCAAAAGGTGAAAGTACCGCAGCAGAGGGTGACGTTTCTTTTTTCTTTTCTTTTTCTATCTGGCGCTTGAAATTGTTAGTTGTACGAGATAATTTATTATTATAAATATATAGTTCGTTTATTGCAAGAAGATGGTATAAATAATATCGTGAATACTAAGTTATATATTTAAGAAGCAGCACTTGTAACGTCATCGTCGTTTTTGATTTTTCATTCATTGAAGTCGATTAATGAATAATATAATTTAAAATAAAATAAAATAATTAATAATGAATAACAACAACAACAACAATAATAATTAATAATAATAAATAAATAATAATTCAAAATAGTTACTTCAAAATAATACAATTTAAAATAGTTATTTCAAAATAATACAATTTAAAATAGTTATTTCAAAATAATACAATTTAAAATAGTTATTTCAAAATAATACAATTTAAAATAGTTATTTCAAAATAATACAATTTAAAATAGTTATTTCAAAATAATACAATTTAAAATAGTTATTTCAAAATAATACAATTTAAAATAGTTATTTCAAAATAATACAATTTAAAAAAGAATGAATATCTACGAGTATTTAAAGATAATGCACACTGTATGTCGATTCTTTTAAAAATAATTTCAAAGGAATGAACAACAATACTAATATCAACATACCCAATATTAATACTACAATAATTAATACCCGATACTAATATCAATATAACCAGTATTAATATACAAGAACGAGCATGACTAATATATAGCAACGACGATAAATCCAATAGCAAGAACAATACAGAACGAATATGAAAGTACCATTGAATGCAAGAAACAAGACTTTCACACGATCAGCACAACTTTCTTCGTTATTATTCGAAACGCAAGAAACGCCCCCGTTTCGTTGTTTTGCTCGACTAACAACAGTTTTGGCAATAGAGGCTGACTCTGTGGAATTTCCATCAGAATTAAATGCGTTTTCGGTGTAAACGGCGTGCCACGATAAATAATCGTGTCGCGTATCGGCGATAAAACACGCGATATTTCCCCGGCGACACCATCGAGTCTCACATAAAGAGTTTCGCGTCGATGAAAAGCGTCGAGCTTCTTCCCCATTGGAGCTGTTGCACTCGGTTAATTCTCGATTGTTGCCCGAGTTCCTTCGGGATTTCGAACGACGTAAATTACACGTTGTTTTACATTTTCTTTGTCTTGTGTGTCTTCATTTTCTGTCCGAAGTTGGGCGAAGTTTCAACAGAGTCTCTGGTACGCGAAATTCATCGGCAAGAATAGCTACCGGTTCCTTGGAATTTCCTGTGACCATCGCCGCTTGAAACTAGCATGAATTTGACTTGAGCTTGAAATCTAGGTTTCTATTAGTCTCGAAAAAATTCTTCAATGATTGTTCCCTTCGTTGGGCAAAAGCCAAATTAAATTCTAAATAATTCTGAATAAGTGAAACGATACGAGTTATCATTTCCAGAACAAAGTGACGTGGTCAGATGAGATTTTATCAATTACCACGAATCGTTACGTTGTACTTTAAATATAGATATTACTTTTAAATATAGTGCTAATGCTCCAAATTATTCTCTAAAAATTCTCGCGTACTCCTTTGTTTGCTCATCGGAGAATTTTATGTGAATTAGTGAATTCTTTGAAGATTATAATATTTTAATAGACTTGAATAAAATGCTGAAAATTTGTAAGAAATTTTCTGTTCTGAAGGAAACCGTATCTCGAAGTACAATCGGACGAGATGCAACTTATCAACTTCCTATCAAAACCTAATGCTAGTCTTCGAGTCTAAATATTATATATTTGTTAAATATAAATATTATATGTTTGTTAAATATAAATATTATATACTTGTTAAATATAAATATTATATACTTCCTAAATTTTTTTATTATATATTTGTTAAATATAAATATCATATATCTGTTAAATATAAATATTATATATTTCCTAAATATAAATATTATAAACTTGTTAAATACAAATATTATATATCTGTTAAATACAAATATTATATATTTATTAAATATAAATATTACAATACTTTTTTCTAAACCAATAATTCTGATTGCGTGAGTGACACTTCTATCAGACATATGGTACGTTGAAGATCGAAACGATTTCTCGAAAAAAAAAAAAAATAATAATAATATTCAATTCCAGGTATCACTAGAAAGCATTGAGATTACTAATTGTCATCGAAACGCACGAGCTTGTCGTTTCGTAAGAGTTAGGCGACAGCAACAAGCAAGTAAACGACGTGATCCACATAGGTGAAATTTGTTCGAAGGTTGGCCGGAAGTACGGTGCAAGGGAGGCTTAAAACGCTCTCGACAATTTTGCCAGGGTTTGCTGCAAGCTGCACGCGAGGTTGCACGCGAAAATTCCTAATAATTCTCTCTCTCTCTCTCCTCTTCGTCTTTGTTAAACTTTTTCTCCCCCTCTCTCTCTTTTTCTTTTTCTTCGTCTTTGTTCTCTCTCGTCTCTCCTTTCTTTCTTTTGTTCCCTTCGTCTTTGTCCGACTTTTTCCTCTCTCATTCACCTTCTCTCTCTCTCTCTCTCTCTCTCTCGGGGCGGAGTAATTTTATCCAGGCGATCGAGCACGATAACAGAAGCACAGGCCGCGAGAGCGTTTATAAATTATAATGCGGCCGATAAATCATCAGCATCTGACGGGGGTCATCTCGCGAATCGATCGTGTACCGCTCTCGCGGAAAAAGAGAAACGGATCACGGACGAACCAATTAGTTAATAAGCTCGGGCGTGTTAATACGTCACGATTTATTGTTACCTTCACTCCTCGGTGTTGTACGAATAATTCCTGCTATTTTTATCCCGTTGCTTTTTGGTCTTCTTTTTTTTCTTTTTTTCTTTTTTCTTTTTTTTTTCGTTCCTTTTTAAGGAACTAAAAATTTATCGTGTCGTGAATATGGACGAAGATCTCTTGACGGATGACGATGCGCGACGGATTAAAGCTTGAAGTTATTTAATTTTCATAGTGCTGCTAGCTGCAATGTAATTCCCGGTTTCGGTGTATTGAAACTTTATATTCTGTGTACTTTAATCACGCTGGTAAATACAGGGGAGATTGTCGAGGAATTGTTGGAATATAATTGGAACATTAAACGCACAACGTATAATAATTTCTTACTACTGTAATAATAATATTATCGATTAGGTAGATTGCAAATTGTAGCTCATTGTTTCACAATTCTTATTCTTCGAGAACGTCTCACTAGCTTCGAACGACTCATTTGTTAATATTAATCAATGGCGTTTATTCAAACGAGTAACTTGTAATTTATGTGACTTGTAAATTTTCACTGACGATTATTATTATTACAGTACAATCTTCCGAGAGAGTGCAGGAAATATGAATAACGAAGACCATCCATTCTTTAAGCGCAATTGAAGCAAAAATACGCTTCACTAATGACGACACAATATCGTATCGTCAAAGTAGCCATTTTTCAATTGTATTCGATATAATTGAAACAAACGAATATACTTGAATTCGCGAAATTTCTCGAGCAAAAATGATCCAAGTAAGAAGGCTGAAGTAAGAAGACGAACGTATTTCGCCGAATGACATGATTAAAGAAAGGAGAGAGAATATCCTTTGGTATAAACAGAATATTCGAAACAAACGTCACGAAGCAGTGGCTTTTAGCATGATAACTATCCGGCAGAGCCATCCAGCTTCCGGTGGCTGCTGCAATTTGTATGAAACGACGTGCCCGTACTTTTAACGGCGAACAACACGATTCACTGCTCTCGTAAATCGGCTCGTATCGTGTATAATTAATGGCGCATCGCGGTATACCCGAAATAATGAGCTATGTAAAAGCGGTCATAAAGCCATACGCAACTTGAATATCAACGCTGACCCAAACCTGGAAGATCAACGAAACGACAAGAAAGAGATCAAGCGAAGATCCTTGATGTTTCACTTGCAAATATCATTTCAAATCGAAATTTCTTAGTTGATTGATTCAAATAAATTTTAATTAATTTAAGGAAATGAAACAGGCTACACATATTTACGCAAATTTATATTTTCGCGAATAGGAATCGACACTTTATGAATGAAGATTAACGAAAGGGCAGCTACTGTCGACGAATTTTATTATTATATATCTTCTGTTACGTGTATTTCCAAAAAAAAAAAAAAAAAAAATCGAAAGGCTCGATTATTTAAGAAAATGTCGCTCGGGTAATTGCGGAAGTTTCAAAGTGAACTGTCATTTTTGGATTTTAACGAATAACAGCTTTGGTACCATTTTTCTACTCTTCCAACTCTGACAAAGTTAACCACTTACGCTAGCAACTGGTTCGCGGACCGTAACGAGTGACCGAACCGTATACAATTATTCGCCGCTTTCTTTTTCTTTTGAGCTACGTCGGTACGATATCACTGGACAGAAATTATTAAGAAGTAGTAAACTTATCGTTCGTTTCGCCTGGATTCACATTTAAACATACTTAAAACTGAGAAAAATGTTGCAATCTCGGACGAAAAATTCTCGACGTGGCACGTCATTCCAGCGCCACTTGCGCTGGCAATTGATTGCGGACCATAACGAGCGACCGAACTGTATACAATAATTCGTCGCTTTCTTTTTCAACTCGTCGGCATGACATCACTGCAGATAGATAGAAATTATTAAGAGATAATAAATATTCATTATTTGTTTCGCCTATTTTGTTTTACTTAAATATACTTAAAATACCAGAAAGAATAGAAATTATATTGCAATTTTGGGACAAAAGAATTCTCGACGTGCGTGGCAAGACGTTATTCCAGCGCAAGTGGTTAACCAATTGATTGCGGACCATAACGAGCGACCGAACCGTATACAATAATTCGTCGCTTTCTTTTTCAACTCGTCGGCATGACATCACTGCACATAGATAGAAATTATTAAGAGATAATAAATATTCATTATCTGTTTCGCCTATTTTGTTTTACTTAAATATACTTAAAATACCAGAAAGAATAGAAATTATATTGCAAATTTGGGACAAAAGAATTCTCGACGTGCGTGGCAAGACGTTAATCAGCGTAGTTTGGATTGTAGCGAGTTCTACTCGTGATCAGTTGTGAACAGCGCTTAAGGGTAGTTTGCGGCCTTGCCTTTACCTTGGCTCGAGCGTTTCTCGCGGTCCTTGGCCAGGTCAGTTATAGGCGCGCGAAAAAGGTCAGTCGACTGACGTCTAGCGCTTAATTTGTTGACACGAACATACCGCGGACGCAATCGTTCTCTCTCCCTCACACTCTCAACGTTAGTCGCTGTAACAACCAATCCGAAACGCGATTAATCGTGCTCTCGAAATTACTTCTACCTTTTTACTATCTTCAACGTCGATTAATTTCAATTTAATGAAAACGGTATTATATTATTATATATAGAGTGATGTCTTTGATCGTGAATTTGCACAAATGTTCGAAATTGAAATTTACGAGGATAAATAAACGAAAAACTTTTACCTTAAACCAATTACTTTTACTTTCTTCGAAAAATGTTTCAACGTCGATTAATTTCAATTCAATAGAAGCACTCGGTATTGTATAATTATAGGCTGCCTTCTTTGATCAAAGATAGAGAAACGATCATGTTGGAAATTGAAAAACAAACGAGAAACTCAGTTTTTTTCAGTTTTTTTTTTTTTTTTTTTTTTTTTACAAAAACTCTCTACAACTATGTTCAACGTTGATTCGCAAAAGACAGTCAGTTTCTCAGTTTGTTCTTGTAAATTTGAATTTCTAACGTTCGTGCGTAACATTTTTCCCAACTTCGATCAGAGAAATCCCGTGTGATATGAATCGAAATTCGCATTAATTGCTTCACGGAGAAGGACGCGAGACGGTGAGAAACGACGGCCTCTAGTAGAACGAGTCGACGCACGGTCGGACGTGCGAACGAATTTAAATTTAAACGAAACACAATCCCCCTTCATTAGCCCCGGCTAACTGTCGACCCAAACGTGCCCTCTGTTGAATCGAAGTTCGCAAACAACGCTAATCAGTCGTCGTGCAATTATTGGGGCTCGAGTGGAAAAGGAGTGCGCCTGGTCAGACACATGCTGGAAAACACGTCGTGTCGTCGTGTTACTTGCGATTTCACGGTCTACCGGAACCGGCTGGCAAACTGCTACCCCGATTAAATATTCGCTTCGCGGCCTGCGTAGGCTGATGATTGTTTAAATGATCGTACCGCGTGACATGGATTATTTACGTAGTTTGCGTGGAATATGGGATAATTAGCGAACGCGCGTGAGCACGTTAGTGATATATACATACGTTGCGTTAAATGTAGGATCGTTAACGAACAACGGATCCAGTTGTTGAAGAATTAATTAGCATAATGAACAATTTGTTATTACGACTGTTGCCAGGCAACGTGGGCGTTTATGCGCTTCGGGGATATTCGAGGCAGATATGACCGAAATAAACAAGCAAAGAATTGAGAATATAAATGTAACGTGTGATGATGACACGTTAAATATCGAAAATAGATGTGAATATTTTTACTTGTAAAATTTTTAATATTCAACGTTCGTGAAAATAGGAAATTACGATTTTTAAGTCGCATTGCACAATGAATTTCAATGTTCAATTACTTATCTTTGCGATCAATTTGCAAATGACTTTTGAATAATCGTAAAACGTCGGACCATCACGCTAGACAACGTTGAAACAACCCCTGGCCCTTTTCCATTCACTATAGAACGCCTCTCGTCGCTTTTCTGCCTCTCTGAAAATGTCTCACGCGGCCTTTCACGTTCCTGCTCCGTCTCTCCGCCTCTCGTACCTTCATCCTATTCATCGAATAATTAGCCAGCCGTTTGTTCGTCGCGACTCGAAAGCGATCGTGGGACACCAAACGAGCCGACTCCCCAGCGAAATTCGTCGGAAGCTTTCGTGTCAACGACCTCGTCCATCGTCGACAGTTCTCTTCTCTTTTTATTCTTTTTCTTTTTTTTTGATTTTTGAGTGTTATTTGACCGTAATTAACGCAGGAATAATATTCGTTTCGGTTGAAAAGGGAAGAGAATTTCTAGTCAATTTAAAAATATAATATTATAATAATATAAAAATTTAAAATTATTTTAAAAAATAATTTCAAATAATTTAAAATAAAATAAAAATAATTTCAAATAATTTAAAATAAAATGAAAATAATTTCAAATAATTTAAAATAAAACGAAAATAATTTAAAATAAAATGAAAATAATTTAAAATAAAATAAGAATAATTAATTTAAAAATATAATACTAAAATAGATAGTATCATCACCCTTCGAAATTTTCTGAAAATTCCTCAGTAAGGAATTTTTTTCTCTCACCTGTTTCCTCAAGATTCTGAGCAATATTTGACATTATTATTGGTAGATTTTCTCGAAATTTGTTCTTCTAAAATTACGTACGTGTTAGAATCTCTTTGGGGTTCCAATCAAAGAAAATAACAAAAACGAAACTCGCAGTCCTTTAATTTAAAGTTTCTTTTCATTTATGATAGAGAGCTTGCACACAGCCGAGCTCTAAATTAGTCTGGTGAACGTTATTTGCAGATCACTCACCTGTAAAAGTACGAACAACCCCTAACGCTGTTGTGGGAGAAGTGCTCGGCGTTCTTCTCGTTGCCGAAGTCCTCCAGTGGATCGGACCAGAGCAGATCGCACATCGGCCCGTACGCCGGCGGCTCTTTGAACCTGTCCAACTGCAACAAGCAAAGTCAACACCGATCGAATTAGTCGAAGGAACGGGTCTCTGACGTGCATCAGTCGTGTAAACGATGTTAGGCTGTGTGCCTAATTATCTAAACGCTCTCTCTCTCTCTCTCCTCTCTTTCGATGCAGAGATGGCGACTCGTTGCTTCGAGCTTCTAATTAACGGAACTGTTTTCGTTTCACAGACACGAAATTCCTCATTTCTGAGAACCGACTGCGAATTTAATATGCCCCTGTTCGAAGTCATTTGTCATATCGCGTTTAATCAATTGAAATCTTGAAAGGGAGGAAGACAGAGAATATTGTAAATAAAATATATAAACATAAGAATTTATTTATTCTCATATTCTGTTTTGTTTAACATTGATCTATTATTCAGGAGTGATTTGTTATTTAATCAATTAAAATCTTGCGAAAGATGTAAAGATGAAAATGGTTCTAATTTCGAATACAGTTTCAGATATTAATTTCAGATATTGTGCTTGTGATCCTTTCGTCCAAGTGATTTAATAAATCAAGTAATTTAATTTGATCGATGAAAATTTCGTAGGAGAATATGTGAAAATAATTTATACAACGACGTGTAGCTTAATGTTAATATCTGAAATCCGTTTGTCAAAAATATTTCGTTTGATTTTCTCTCTATACTTAATTCATTATCGAAATCTAAACATTATTACTAATCTTGAATTTAGGGTATATCTCGAAATATTATTACCAAACGTCCAAATATAACTGCTCCAGAGAATATTTCTCTGCTCTCTACATTTACACCCGACAGTAAAACACGGACACAACTTCTCCCTAACTTCGGTGGAGAGAAATAGGACGATAGCTGTCCGATTGACTGCTATCGTTCAAATATTTAAAATTTTTGTTCCCCCCTCCCCATCCCCCCTCGCCACACCGTGACATGTGTCGTTGCTTGCAACTTTCGGTAACCACTGAAACGAGAGGAAGGTTGAAAGTTGCCGGGGCTGGAATTTCCCTGATTTTTCTTTGATTCCGACGAGCGGTACGACACAAGCCCGGAATAAATCTAGGCCAGAGTTCGTGAATGCTTTATGACGCGGAAACACCACTCGAGAAGCGAGTCTGCCCTTTCTGCTTCTCTCTCTCTCTCTTTCTCTCTGTGCACGTGTGTGTATTTTTATACGTGTCCATATATCTGCCCGCGTGTGGGTGTGTGTGATTTCCGAGTAAATAAGTGGCTCGTCTACCCAGTTTCCCTATCGAGAGAGGGTAAACCACTCTTCTCCCTCGTTTTTCTCTTTTCCAACGCACATACTTGGCGAATCTTCGAATCGCGAGTAACCTGTAATTCAGCGGCACGCAACAAACATCAAGAAACAATCGTCGATCAAGAGAAATCTGCGATCGAAACAGTTAAAGCAAATTAATATATAGTTAATAACATAATCCGAACGTACTTGTCAGATATAAAATTCAATATCAAATTTGTATAACGTTCGAGTATATCGTTTGAATAACAATTCAATCTGACTCGGGTATAACGTCGAGTATGAAATTCAATTTATATGCTTGACTAATGCTCAAGTATAATTGATTTTTACAAATGAAATTTCATTCTTGACTGCGGACCATAACGAGTGACCGAACCGTACACAATAATTTCGTCGCTTTCGCTTCGAATGCAAAAATATCGAGAAGTGACAAATTTATTACTTGCTCTGACTACTTCATTTTACTGAAATATACTTAGACACTGAGAAAATATTACAATTTCGGGACAGAGAATTCTCGACGTGCCGTGGCAAGAGTTATTCAAAATAAAACAAAAAAAGAATTGTCATTCATTCATACGAGAGTCGTACGTCTCGTTCTCTTGATCAGTCGTGCCAGGACTTTGGCAACACTCTGCTTCTATATCGACGGAATAAAGATTCCACCGAATAGTCTAAAAACTTGAAATTTCTCTCTCTCTCTCTCTCTCTGGGTCTACTCAGAGGACAACTAAACAATCTACGCCGCAACGCAGCGACGTCGAGTTGGCCCTTCGATCCGATCGTATCCAAGTTAACGGCGGTTTTAGGTGAGAGAAGGAAGAGAGGAGAGAGAGAGAGAGAGAGAGAGAACGACGCAGCCACTTTGGCAAGGGTAATAATGCTGGTAATATTACGTCTGCTATTATTAGGTGCGAAATGCTCGTTACACTGTGAACTGCATTCTCGTTTCCCTCGTGGTACGCGTGCGTACACACACGCACGCACACACACACGCGCACGCGCGCGCGTGTGTGTGACAGCTGTGCCAGCCAGCCACTGTGCACCCGGCAACTAATGCCATTCAACATAATTAGCGTTACCATTATGATCAAAACTTGCAGTCCACGGCCGGCTGCTGTGGTAGGTCTCTCTCTGTTGAGCGATAAACAGAGAGACAACGTCGATACGTCAACGTTAAGTCAGCGCCTCGTAGCTGGGTAATTATACGGCCGGGGTAATTATTGGAAACGTTTTCGTCGACGGAGGGCAACAACTCTGTTGCCCTGAACAGATCTATCATCCAGCGTTCTGCGACTTTGCGTCGCGCGATTCTCACGCGTCAGACGCGCGTGAAAAAAATTGAAGACGGAGTCAAGCCATGTCGTGATATAACACGGAAATTGCATTTACACAATTTTCGGAATTTCGTGAATTGTCTCTGGAATTGAAAACGATATATTTTAACACGGGATTTATCAAAGTGACAAATCAAAGAGTATCGTTAGTAGAATAAACAGTATTTTATATAACTGCAAATATAGAATTGCGGATGTAGAATTCTATACGGAATTGTTCACGTCGGTTTGAAACAGAGAGAATTGTATGTTTTCATTTTGAGTTCGAAAATTGTAACAATTCCAATAATTACGTTAATTATTATAAATAATAATTACACAATAATAATTATAATTACAGTAATAGTAGTAGTAGTAGTAGTAATAATAATAATAATTACACAATAATAATTACAGTAATAATAATAATAATAATAATAATAATAATAATAATAATAATAACCAATCACAATAATTATGTTAATTATCATAAATAATAATTACACAATAATAATTACAGTAATAATAATAATAATAATAATAACAATAATCAATTACAATAATTACGTTAATTATTACACAATAATGATTATAATTACAGTAATAGTAGTAATAATAATAATAATAATAATCAATTACAATAATTACGTTAATTATTATAAATAATAATTACACAATAATAATTATAATTACACTAATAGTAATAATAATAATAAACAATAATAATTATTATTATGATTATTATAAATAATAATTATATAGTAATTATAATAGTTATATTACACATAAAAGCAGGCTTAGTAGTAAAAAGTTCCGTTTGCGTTTCCACATCAATTTTATTTTAAATTTACTTTGCCAGGGCGAGACGGTTAAATTTAATTAAATCACACGGACGGGAGGTTTTTAATTTGTATGAAGCAATTTTTTAACAAAGAAAGTCAAGTGTCCCGGGACATGAAACGAAACTTTTAATGAATCAGCGAACGACTGTGAAAAGACAGAGCCAAGGGTAACTACTGCGAGAGCGCGATGCGTCTGACTATATACGTTCCCCTTTTCACTTACGACTGCGTCAAACGTGTTCGAATGCAGCCTTGTTAACGATCGATCATTACGATATATACGAGCAGGATCTTCTTGATGTTTCTCCTCGAAAGGAGGGGATTAAATACGTCAGTGATACGTATAATCATTACATTTAGATAATTTGAAGAGCTGAAAGATCTTGCAGACCAGAGTTACTTCGAGAAAGAAAATTTCTCGATTAGTCGTTAGCGTTGCAAAGCTTGCAAAATTCATGAAGATCTCCTTACGAAAATTTGCAAGTTCCTCGAAGGTTTTCTCATGCAAATTGTTAAGGAATTTGTAGATATTCACAACTTACCACCAGAAGATTTCCCAAAAATTTCTCGAGAAGTTCGCGAAATCCTCTGTTGATAATTTTTGCAAGATTCGCGATATTTCTGGAACGTTCTCCCAGAGCAAAGAAGACACGTTAAAGAGGATTTTATCCGGACGATTGCCAATCGCGCGAAACATGTATATCGCGTCTGTTGATGGAATTTCTCGGTTTCAGAAACCGGACCGAAAGACGAGAGGCGGTGACAAAATTGGCGAATCGGTGGCCAAAACGTTCTCCATTGGGCAACTTTCCCGTATCGCGTTTAATCGTATCCTCGTACTGCAGCCGCGTAACGTAATTCTGCTTTTACCTGGCAGCCAAACCAACAATCGCACGTGCTCCGTAAATTTCTGCGAGCAGCAAAGAGTCGTGGAACGCGTTTCGAAATAACTTTGAGCCAGAGAGCCACGGAGAGGTTTTCGTTATTTTCTTGCTAATTTTTTTTTCATCAGGTTAATAGGTTTCTTCCAACGTCAAATGAAACTGTAAACATTCATTTTGATACTAACCTTAAAACTGGAAAACCAAGAATCTTGGGAACTATTTAAAAAAAAAATTATAAGTTGCTTATTTCGATAAGTTGCTTCATTTTGATTATTTTTGATTGAAGACTACTTTCTAAATGTTAGATATAATAAAAAAGGTTGGCAAATTTGAAAATAAAATACTGGGATGGACAGAGCGTCTTGTGTCCAAATTTTTTAAAAAAATTTACTGGGAAGAAATAATGCGCCTTGGGAAATTTTATAGTTCTACGTTTCATATTTTATTGTATTTTAAAAACTTTACTCCACACTATTTTTTATATTTTATTACATTCTTATATCTATATTTTACTCCACACTATTTTTTATATTTCATTATATTCTTCTATCTATATTTCACTCTATTTTTACATTTTATGTGTTTTATAGTGTAATTTATATTCTTATATCTATATTTCACTCTATTTTTACATTTTATGCTTTATAGTGTGATAGGTTACGATACGAGTAAAAAACGGACAAAAGAGAGGAAAAATTCGAGAG